GATTACAAGCCCAGGAAAACACCCTGACATCGGCTCAACGCGGAATAACAGAAACTTCCGGAGTTCGATGACAAGACGTCCACGCCTGGCAACTTCACCATCCATCATATCGATCTTAGACTTCCGCAACTTTTACCTCGGCATCYTCTTAACTCGATACWGCCAAGRTGGGGGGCTAACTCAAGGCCCACTAGCGAAACAAGACTATCAACTTTGTTAGGTTTCTAAGTAAAAGAATGGGCAACAACGAGAAGTCCAGGAAAATACGGTGACATCAACTCAATACGGAATAACGAAAACTTCCCGAGTTTGATGATAAGACGTTCACGCCTGCGACTTCGCAATCCAACATATCGATCTCAGATTTCAACAACTTTTACCTCGGTATCATCTTAATTCGATACTGCCAAGCTGGGGGGCTAACTGTGGGGGTCGGATTTCACCCCTATGAGATCGATATGGCGATGAGATCAACTCCACAACGTCTTGACGAAATCAAAGTAAGTCTACAAAGGCCCAGTCTGAATCTAGGCCCAAAATGGTATTAAATCCATAAGCAAAATGGGCTTAATTGAATAATGGGCCTAAAACTCTCTTGAGATCTTTGTGTTTGCTTGCTTTCCACATAACTTTACAAACCCTAAAGAATCACTTAGATTCTAATTGTGAGATTCGACCGCCACATTGGTTACATATTTAAATATTCCAAATTTAAAGCGCGGTTAGATGGTCAAGGAGATTCGAACCCAAGACTCTCCCACTTAGGAATTACCACTGGACCACGAGGCCTTGGTTACGTATTTACATAACAATAAAGGTTTCTTTTTACCTAAACTTAAAAACATAAAATAAAAACAACATCGCAATTAAATTAAAAGGGTATACCAAATTATGTTGCAAATTAAGGAAAAGAGAACGTGCCATTGCTCTGGCACTAGTTTGTTTGGGATCAATGGTATGATATCGTACAATATCATCATGCAATTTTTATACTAAAAGGGTATCATAGATTGAACAAAACAAAACAATACTTATCTCCTAAATTTACATGAATGCTACAAATTAATGATCCCAATAATGTACGATAGTATAGGGCTTAAGAAGAAGAGTACATGAAATTAATAATTTAATGATCCACACCCAAAAAATCGTATAAGTAAATGACAGAAACGTCCTTATCCGCTTTATGGGAAAAGGGAAAAAGCATTTTGATAACTTTCCATGTTTTACTAAACATAACTGTTTGTTGTTCACATTGACCCTCTCTCTCTCAGTCACTCGCACACCAGCGAGCGTTTCCGTCACGTCAACATCGTTTTAAAGTAAACCACCTTATGGTAGAGTTTTAAACTTTACTGCAATTTGATGGAAAGGGAAGAAAAAATAGACAAGACCAAGATGAACCGTATGTTCATGCTTTCACACGCTCTCTTACTCGAAGAGCTAGCAAAAAACACACAAAAGAGGGTGAGGTTTTTGGTAAATAGTAAAACCAAGGACAAAACTGTCATTTGACACAACGCTCCCCATTTTAAGGTTGGCTCTTTCTCAAACTGAAAACGACTGCAAGCAAGGAAAACTGTACATTTACACACACGCATAGTCCAATAACATATAATATATGTGTTGTGTATATATATATAGAGAGAGAGGCTAGGCTTGTGGGAAATAAATAATCTAACATATATAGAGAGAGAGGCTTGGCTTGTGGGATATAAATAATCTAACATATATAGAGAGAGAGGCTTGGCTTGTGGGATATAAATAATCTAACATCACCGCCTTCTTCTAATCCTATAAATTAAAAACTTGAAAGCTCCATCTCTCAAGAACAAGAGCTAGTCGTAGAAACAAAATAACATGGAGAGAGTTTGCTGCATGTGCGGCGACGTCGGTTTCTCCGACAAGCTCTTCCGCTGCCGCCACTGCCACAACCGTTTCCAACACTCGTAAGTACTCCTCCTCCTCCTTATCACTCAAACCTATATAGCTAATTAATAGCTTCTCCATCCTTTATAATTGTAATCAGAATCATAATTATTAATAGTTGCGC